ATTATTATTATTATTATTATTATTATTATTATTACTATGTTTATTATGGTGATCGGTGATCAGTGATCTTTGATGCTGCTATTGTAATTGTTATGGGGCATCATAAACCACACCCATATAAGACGACGTGCCAAATCAATTAATGTTGTGTGTGTTCTGACTGTCCCACCAACTGGCCGTTCCCCCATTTCTCTCCCTCTCCTCAGACCTCCCTATTCCCTGAGACACAACAATATTGAAATGAGGCCAATTAATAATTTTACAGTGGTCTCTAAGTGTCCAAGTGAAAGAGAGTCACACATCTCTCACTTTGAATCAAAGGCTAGAAATGGTTACACTTGGTGAGGAAGGTATGTCAAAAGGTCCTCTGATGGATCTGGGCAAAGTCCATTGAAAACGTTCTGGAAAGCATTCGCCCTTCTAGGTGCCATTAAGAACATTTGTGATTCATGGGAAGAGGTCAAAATATTAAGATGAACAGGAGTTTGGAAGAAGTTGATTCCCACACTCAGGCATGAGGGGTTCAAGATGTCAGTGGAGGAAGTCACTGCAGATGTGGTGGAAACAGCAAGAGAGCTTGAGTGACAAGTGAGCCTGAGGATGGGACTGAATTGCTGTCATCTCATAATAAAACCTGAACAGATGAGGAGGTGCTTCTCATGGGTGAGCAAAGAAAGTAGTTTCTTTTCTTTTTTTTTTTTTAAAGATTTTATTTAGTCATTTGACAGAGAGAGACACAGCGAGAGAGGGAACACAAGCAGGGGGAGTGGGAGAGGGAGAAGCAGGCTTCCCGGGGAGCAGGGAGCCCGATGCGGGGCTCGATCCCAGGACCCTGGGATCATGACCTGAGCCGAAGGCAGACGCTTAACGACTGAGCCACCCAGGCACCACCCAAGAAAGTAGTTTCTTGAGATGGAATTTACTCCCGGTGATGATGCCGTGAAGACTGTCAAAATGACAACAAAGGATTTAGAATATGACGTAAACTTAGTTGATCAAGCAGCAGCAGGTTTTGAGATGATTGACTCCAATTCTGAAAGAAGTTTCTACTCTGGGTAAAATGCTTATCAAACAGCATCACAAGCTACAGCAAAATCATTCATGAAAGGAAGAATCAATCGATGTGGCAAACTTCATTTTTGTTTTATTTTAAGAACTAGCCACAGCCACCCCACCTTCAGCAACCACCACCCTGACTGGTCGGCAACCATCAACATGGAGGCAAGACCTTCCATTGGCAAAAAGATTGCAAATTCCCTGAAAGCTCAGATGATGATTAGCATTGTTTAGCATTGAAGTATCTTTAAATTAAGATATGTACATTGTTCTTTTAAACATAATGCTATTATACACCTAATATACTATAGTATAGTGTAAACAACACTGGGAAACCAAAAAATTCACTTGACTTGCTTTATTGTGATATTTACTTCTTTGCAGTGATCTGGAACTGAACCTGCAATATCTCCAAGGTATGCCTATACCTGGCACCTTATACATATGTGAGGCCTCAAAACATGACTACATGCTTGCATGGAATACAAGTAGGCTCCTCCTCCCTGTGAGACTTTGTTTCTCCCAGTCTACCTTCCCAACTCTCGCAGCCTTCGTTAGCTTTCCAACTATCATCAAAACCTTCTCACAAGAAAAGTCTGGAAATTCAATTACTTTAAAGTAAAAGTAACTGATGATGGCTTAAAGTGTTTCATCTCCCAGGGAGAGTTCAATATGGATAAAGCCTCAGATAAAATGTTTGCAGTCTCCTACCATTTAACGACAATCGTTAGTGAGCAGGGAAGGAGAGACTTCTTTTGAGGGATGGGTTAAGACATAAGAGTGACTTGCCAACCAAAGAGAAACCACTGCTATTGCCACATATTCTGAGGTCAACTATCTGCAGAAATAAAATGAATATATTGTTTTCTATACTTATTTAGCAAGCTAGCCCTTAACCAAAGATCTTCAATGTAGGGACCCCACCAAAGAATCCAAAATGCTCCCACACTTTAAGAGAGCTTCTAATATTTTAAAATTAAAGTTGGGTTTGTTGGGAAAAGAGAAACTTCCCCAAGATTTCATGCAGAGAGAAGGCAGAACTTCATGTAGTTCACCACAAATATAAAACATCGTCTGCTAGAGAGCTCTCTAGCAGATGTTCATAAGAACATATGATTGGTAGTTTTAGCTTCCTCTTTCATCAGGCTTAACTCAGCAGCCCCGGCTTGGTATCTGATTTGTTCTGAGCGGGTGAAGCAATTAAACAAGTAAAATTAATTATAAAATTGTCGATAACACAAAACTCTTCATCTCTTAGTAAACAGTAAACCCAGACTGACTCTGATGGAAGCCAATACGATGATACCAAAAGAACAAAAAAGCCAGTTGTCTACTTACAAATCATGTGACTTCCTTTCCCAAAATGTCTAGGTCTTATGCCATCCAATAGAATAAATAAGTATACCCCCAAATTAATTAATGCAAGCTGCTGTCTTCCCTGGTCTCCAGATTCCATCGTGAAATATACCTCCATTTTGAATTAATCAAATACTGCTCCCCTTTGTCCTCATACACATATGCTCTTGTCACCAAACTGAATAGAAAGTATACATATCTCTACCATGTCGTGTATTTGTAAAAATCCCGGATTATTTTTTTCAGTCTTACAGTTCCAAACTTCCATATTATAACACTTTTGATGTAAAAGATATAACTCTACTTTGGCCTCTTTTAAAATAATTTTTTATTTCTTGCTCACTAGGATATGTTAACATTGTCTGAGTTAACTTTTCAAGCTGATGTCTTGAAGATGATTTGGGCTGAACTGTTCAGTGCTACATAAGTGTTAGTCTGAATCCTTGCTCTAACTTTGCCTTCTGGTTCTATTATACCTCAGAACAGTGGATCATTATAAACGTTGCTTTTGAGCAGATTAAAGTTACGAAACAGAGCTGAGCTGATCAGATCATGACATTGGCTTTTGAACATTACAATTGCTTCCCACTTTTAAAAATAATTCCTCACCCAGATATTCCTATATGCAATCTATATCTATGCTCTCAGAGAGTAAAAGCATTTTTTAAAAAATCTATTTCAGAGGCTGGTCATGTTATGTTTTTTAAAAAAAAACCCAGTTGCTAATTATTTAGGAAAATGAAGTCCCCATTTTGCAAGTGAAGAATCGTCTCCTTCTCCAATATATTTCTTTCTCTAAATTGCAATTTTCCTCTCTGAGTTTTCTTAAATCATGGTCCTTTCATATTGCATGTACATTGTGTAAGACACTTCAAATTTACCTTTCTTGGTCAACTCTCCAGAAATGATTTACTTCCAAACCCATCCCCCAACCTCTGGAAATCAACTCTATTTTTCAAATTTCCAATTTAGCATCTCTGTCTTCAATCACACATTCATCTGTGCTCACCTAAATGTTCAGTGTTTGTCAGCAGCAGTAGATTGCGCAATCTCTCTCCCCATCTCTCTCTCTCTCTCTCTCTCTCTTTCTCTCTCACCTATGAGTCATTACAATTTCCGTAGATTCACAATAGAGAGTTCAGAACCTGTCGCCCACACCTCACTGTAAGCTAAAGAAACCAGAAGACAGCTTTCTCCTCTTGTAAATGTCAAGTGTTCAGCATGTCTCCATTGGAGGCTGAATAGAAATGTAACCTTACAAAAGTAAGTCCTTGGGTCTGAGCAAAGCATTGAGTATTCTGCTCCAAGGTGGACTTTCCCTACAAGAACATATGATTGGTAGTTTTAGCTTCCTCTTTCATCAGGCTTAACTCAGCAGCCCCAGCTTGGTATCTGATTTGTTTTGATCGGGTGGTAGAGCCCACAAGATAAACAGCAGATTTTCAGGTTTGTCTCAAAAGCAGCCGGAAGAATTGTGTCTATGGGAGGGGGGAGTGTGGTGGCCTTCCATCCAAGACTTCTCAAATGTACCTTCTTTTTTCTTAACAATCCAACATACCACACACCATGCCACACTTCTTACTAATTCTTCTTGGTCAACAAAGGGTCAAAAACCCACTATTGGGCTTTCATCTGGCTCTCATTATGCCTTTCATGAGCACATCTCCAAGTATTATGTCTAAAAGTCCTTCCTGAGGTCTGGTAGGGAGGATATCCCACCAGAATAAGCTCAGGTATCTAACCAAAGTTTCCTTTTGCTGTTGGGTTTACTTTGTTACATTCAGACAGAAAAGAACGCTTTTAGACAGATTGGCATGATTTGGGCTGGAGCTTTGACCAAGCAGTCAGAGACAGGAAGGGGAAGAAAGGCCAGGAAGAGGGAGGGGGTGAAATCAGATGTTCACTTTATATTTCACTCCAGAAAACAGCTCACAATTATAGTTACCCACCTTGTTTTGCAGCTCAGAATAAAAGTGGCGTTGCACCAACCCCTACCCAAGCAGCCATCGTGATTAGAAAGTACTCCACACCTTGGAGAACTGAAGAGACATGAGCATAATTTTAAATGCAAATTAAATTGAGGGGGTAGCAGAGAGAACACATAAAAGACAGTAAAACAAAACCTTTCAATTTTCTTAAATTAGCAGTCTAATGTGTTCTAAAGAGCAGCTCCACTCAGATCTCTTTTTAAGGGTTGCATTTCATCACAATATAAAATGGGCAAATCCATCACTTGCCTCTGCTCAGTGCTCTTGAATTGAGATTGAAGGGAAAATTAGAAGCTGTTCATTTGGGCTCGCATGCTCAGCAGCATTGCACAGCTTCATTTGATGCTCTGCGGTGTCCTGCTGGTGAGTATCTGCTAACTTCAGGACTCTTCCTTTCCTGTCTCATTTTTGGCTACCTTTCTTTTCTGGGGGGTGGGGGGACAGCTCCCAAAAGAGCTATGTTATAATGCATTTTTTAAAAGCTGGGAAATTTCAGGCAGCTTTTTCAGCTTCTTCCAGCGACTGATTCGCAGAAGGAAAGAGAGTTATTTTCAGCCGAGATGCTGGTGACTGATCTATGTATTAATTATAACAGGGGAACATTTAGCATATGTTAAGCTCAAACGGCCTTTCCCTACAACCAAGAGCCAGCGTTAGGGTAAGAACTGGGTGCCCCCCAACAATTTCTAGGCAACTTTTCTATCCTACTCATTGTTTAATCATGTAATTCTGTTGCAATTGCAAATCAAACTGTGACTTGGGGCTATAAACATAAATTATTAAAGCCAAAACCCATTTTTCGATGACGATGACACTTCTCTGTGTAAGAGATGGAAGGGGTGATGGGGACCAGACCACATGATGGTCTGTGTAGATTTTGATGGTGATGATTTTGTGCCCAAGTTTTATATGGGAAACTGGTCATTTTCTTCCTTCAGAGTGGAGGATACAAAGAGGCTGAGGCTGGCGTCACCTTCTGTTGCTAAGGTAACATGCTCTGGCCATTTTATATGATAAAGGAGGTCCAGTGGACTGTATACATTATTCATCACTGTTCCAATCAAACAATCAAAATTGTTTACTTTCATTGGGAATTTAGTGAGATCAAAGACACTCCAGCTGAAATTTTTCTTGCTTTTACTGCCGGCAGTTAGTCCTTGATTTTTTTTTCCTCTTGCAGTAAGTATGATTTGCTGTTGGGGTACCTTTGGGTATTTTTTAAAGTTTCCTCTTACCAGATTTGGGTTCTTATATTAAAATATGCACTGTTAGAAAGAAGAACTAATTGGATTAGCCTTCTGAGCTTGATTTTAATGACTTGGTTTTATAAATTCTTTCCAAAAACATCCTGCAGAAATAGAGATACTTCATGTATGCAAGTATCAGGGAAAGGCTACATATGCTAAAAAGAACCCAACAGGCTGAATGCTTTTTAATGAAGTACATCAGCTTCCTGACAGGCTAATGCATGATAATATTATGGGGATTGTTGAGTACAAACCAGGATTCTTTCTCAAAAGCAGCCTGGGTCAGGGGCAAGCAGGTGATGATCCTGTAGCATTTTATAAAATGTGCTGAGGGAATCACCAAAAAGGAAGGAATCCAACGCATTTTTTACAGCAAACATGTCAGCATGTGTCATAAACGCAAGGCACCTATAAGTGGAGGCTCGGATTCCCAGGCGATTCTCGCTGTTCTAGGGGAGTCGAAACTCCCTGGACCAACTGAGGATTAGTTCAGAACGGCTGACACTTAACGGTGCCATTCATCAGACAGACCTTTTGAAAACGGATAGCATATGAATTTAACAGCCTATTTTCCAGTTAATATACAACAAGGAAAGACTGGTATGTTATTTCTCTTTAGCTTGAATCATCTGGTTTGTTTTTTTTTCTGAGTAGAATATATTTCTTTTAATGAATGTTCATTAAATGTTGCATTTTCTCATACAGTAGGAAAGCTATGTTGAGGGTGGCTTTGGAATTGGAAATGTCAAATGAGGGAGTATTATAATGGGATAGTTCTTATTCCAAAATTGTTAATACATCTATACATTTATGGGTATATATAAATACATATCCTTATAATATATAACAAATATAATACATTGTATACACATATATGTTTATATATATATGTATGTGTATATACATATGGTTTTAAACATCTATTTGACAGTCTAAAATATTGTGGATTGTTTTTCCTTTTTCATAGGCATACAAGTGACTATTTTGTCTTGAAACTCTGCTTTGGGAACATCAAGGATGGATTATCCCAAAATGGATTATTTTCTGGATGTGGAGTCTGCTCATAGACTCTTGGATGTTGAGTCGGCTCAGAGATTCTTCTATAGTCAAGGAGCTCAAGGTAATACAATGGGAGCAAGAGAGTAAACTCTTCTCTTTTGCATGTTGGGTTTATACTGACAGTTCAGTATCTACCGCAGCAGCATCAGCTGTACTGCAGAAGGTCAGGAATCGGGATTACTAAGTCGAAAACTCATCTCTACCAATCTGTTGCTGAAATTGAGGCAGGCATGTAATAGAATGGATAAACACCAACTTCTTGGATGTGGTTTAAAAAAAAAAAAAAGGCGTCCTACCTAACTTTTGACACAAATGCCCCTTGGACAGCTAGGTTAGCAAATGATTTCCCACCTACTTGCGCCCAAGGCATAGGTATCCGGAAAGGTGTCCGATGCTGCCCCCCCACCCCCACCCCTGGAGAGGTTAAATTTGCAGCCACTACACTTGAGGAGATCTAGGGCACCCTGACCTATCTGACGGAAATCCAGCTCGATTAGGGGCTCCTGAGATCAGCTTTGCACTTCTAGAGCTGCTTTATCTATTTTAGATGAATTCCGTTGCTGCTCGAGGAATTAACAGTGCACTCGGGGAGCAGTGAGGAGCACGCCGATGGTGAAGTGCGGCTGATATGTGCACTTTTATTACATAGTTCAAGATGGTCTGTTAGGCTCCGGTTGGCTTGCTCTTCCTGTTCCATGGTACATCAAGGATGTTTTGCCAGCACATTGGAAAGAAGCTGGAGTGTCTTATGGGATCTCCTGACAGGCAGGAGATTTTTTAAAAGCGTATTTTCTCTATTCTATGGAATATTTAGAGTATTCAGTCAAAGCAATCTGATGATGGGCATCTCCCGTACGGTACAAGGGATGCACTGAGGAGAAAGGTCATGACCATATTCTTAAAGAGAAGAGTAGTCGAGTTCTTGGAAGTCATAAGGCAGAACTGAGAAGGAATGCTGTTCGGGGACTTCTGGCATCGCGCACTGTTAGGTGGTGACAGGTATTTCACACGGGGCATGATGAAATCTGCCTTGGCTTTCCCAGAGGTCTCCTCTGCACTGGTTTTACCTCCCTGGCAAGCCAATCTCCCATGGCAGCCTCGAGGGTTTGCAAGCCTCCTTCTTTTCTGCTTCCATTTTCCTGGGTATGATCCAGGCTTCTTAAGGTCAGGAGGGGCTGGGCAATTATCTGGTTGATTTGCTTGGGTCAGTGCGTTCATCAGCAGAACTTAAATTAGCCAAAGTGATACAACAGCTAATTCTCCTCATGCCTCTGGTTGTATGTAGTCAGCAAATGCTCCTCTCAGCCCCCTAAAGAGACATGAACATGTTACTGAAGTAGGAGAAGAGGGAGACTCTGGCTAGAACCTCCAGCCTCCCCTGGGTCTGCAAGTAAGAGGATGCTAGAAGTAGATGGAGGAAAGGGGCTGAGGCTCAGTCCCCATGGACAGTCCCGTGTTTAAACATTACCGCGTCTGATCCATTCAGTCTGAGTGGAACAATAATGTTCAGTGGTGGGGTTGTCTACCTGAGCTGTGCAATTGTCAGCAGAGAAGGGGAGTCAAGTTCATTAACAGTGTTAAAGATGTCCACTTTGCATGGCAGCAGAGACAGTTGAAGCTTTTCAGAAGCCTGTGGGCTCCAGGCTTCCACGAAAGGAAAGCAGGCAGGGTGTGGGAGGCTCGGAGGACTCAAATCAGCCTGGTGGTTGTCAGCAGATGGAGTCTGGGGGTGGAGTGGTCAGAATTGTCGCCATCCGTGACTGTGGTTTAGACAGCAGAGCTGGAATGACTAGAAAATGCAGGGGAGGTGGTAGCATAAGCCACTGGTGCTCCTGACAGCACGTTCATTTTAGGGTAAAATCGGAACGATGTTCCAATCAAAGGATCTTGAATTCGTAGTAAGGTGGAGGGGTCCCTAAACATGATCTGTTTCGATTTTTTTAAAACCCCAGCCTTCCTGAAGCAGACATCCAGGTGTACAGCCTAGGAGTTTGCATTTTAAGCAAGAGCTCCAGTGATGATTACCTAGCAGCACCGAAGTCTAGGGGCCCACATTTAAGGACCAGTCCACCCAGTCCAATTTCTCTCCTGCCTTCCTGGGACAGGAACACTTTCCTCCACATTAGAGGCAGGATGACACAGTGGTTGCAGACCCGGGACCCTGACCGCGGGGGTTCAAATCATGGGTCTGCCACAGTGAACCTGGACAAGCTCACCTCTTTGATCTGAATTTCCCTCCCCTGCAAAAGGCAGAAACCATAATAGTGCCCAGTGCCTCAGCTGATTAGAGCCTTAATGAAGTAAGATTTTAAAGTACCAAAACTGTCTGCCACATAAGAAATGCTACACATCAGCAAATCAATAAAATAAACATCCCTGGCAAAACACTGTCCCCTCCTCTGCTTGAAATTTCATAAGGAAGCCACTGCCAAACAAGAATGTAGCCTGATAGGTGTTTAATCTCCTGTTTTTAGCAAAAAAAAAAAAAAAAGAAAGAAAGAAAGGAAAATTAAATCTTACATGAATTATAAAACATAGTGATTATTTTCTTGTCACATCAAAACCCAACTCAGGGCAAAATTGAAAAATAGTGAGTTTGTCTTGGTACTCCCTATCCACCTAGTCCTCCTTTTCACATGAAAAGTGAGACCCCTCCTTTTCCTCCCCATGCCTTCCCCAGAGCTGGACCACGTAGGGCCGGTGAACCCCAGTCTCCTCTCTGCTGTCACTATGATGTTGGATTTGTCACTACACTGCCCCAGGTCCTCCATGGCAGCCTCCTTCCACTTGGTATAGACTCCCCAGACTTTCCTAGACAACCTAGACAACCAGCCCCTGGGCCTGATAAGGGGCTCGGGTGAGTGGGCAGAGGCCTGAAGACCACGGCCTGTACCCCTCCCTTTCAGAACCAGATGTATGTGTTTGAGGGGAGATTCTGAGCACAAGTGGAAAGGGGGCAGCATGGGAGCTGGCTCTTGGGAAGGGCATTTGAGGCAATTAGGGTTTTGTGTTGCTGCTGAATCACAGCACACAACAGCTCTCTTCCTGGCCAGCCCATCCCAGGGACAGGGGCACAGGAGATCAGGTAACCCTGATCCAACACTCTCTTCTAAAAGAAGGTCTAAATGGGAGCACAGTATGGAGCTGAGCACCCAGAATTTGGGTGACCTGGGATTTGATCCACTCAACTGGTGGGTGATTATTGCCTTTTTGAGTTGTCCATTCTCAAAGTCATGTTGATACTTCCGTAGACTGATCAAGTGTTCTTGAAGGTGTAAATATTTTTAAAGGGGGGAGCAAGAAAATCTGAGTTTTATTTTCCACATTGCCATCCTTATATCAGTTTTATTTACAAATTCATAAACTTCTTAGAAACCAACCCCCTCTCTATTTATGACTTGCAAAAATGGTTATCTAAGACCATGATACTGGAATTATAATATTTTTGACCCCGTCACAGTTATTTTTCAATTCCTTCTGGGAAGTGGCAAAAGGCCTGCCTCTAAGTAGAAGATGCTTTTAGCTAGTAAAAGCCAGAGAAATCCCAGAGGGTGAAAAAGAAAGATAAAAGCAATCCAATCTATTGTGGGACAAATTCTTCTGAAAGTCCCAGAGATTTTCAAAAGTCAGTCATTTGCTCTGTGGAATAAAGCAGGTTGCTCTGTGGACCTTCATATTCCTTGGTTTGGTCCTGAGGTAGAGAAGATGAGCCCACTCCTCCGGGGACTCTGCTATGGAAAGCATGATGTGTAGCAGAGAGCAGAAAAAAATCTAGGATCACCCTGTTCATCATCCATCAGTGAAGGATGCTCTCCCAATTAATCTATGAGTGCTTGGTCAACAGTAAAACCTGCTTCTGTGAAGGTCTCCATTAACTCAAAAGGAGAATTCTTGAGGTTGAAGATACACATGGCATAGAGATCAGCCATGTCATGACATAATATAACTTGAGTTCACCCACCTTCCAGGTTTCTGACAGTGATGACTCACACGCTCACCTTCAGTCTCTGTAATTTTTTTCCTGAACAATTGCATTGGGAGGGAAGTCATATTATAAGATCATAAAACTAACATCATAAGATTTTCAGGTTGAAAGGGACATTATGGATGGTGATTCTCTTGGCCCCTTCTGAAACCAAGTGAAACGGAATTTGTGAGGGATAAACCCAGGTCCAAGGGCTACATTTTCAAAGAGCCACTGGGCTATTCTGATGAACACTGAAGGTTGAGAACCACTGTTATTGATCATTAATCATGTGCTGCTATTCAGAGGATGGTCCTGGACTAGCAGCACCAGCTTCATCTCAGAGCTGGTTAGAGATGCAGAATCTCAGGCACCCTAGACCTAGAGAAGCAGAACCTACATTTGAACAAGATTTCCAGGTAATTTATGTTAGTTCAAGAAGCAATGACTGAGTCCAGTGCATATCAGAAACACCTGGCAAGCTTTTATGAACTCAAGACTGGAGTCCCACAACAGACCAATTAAAACAGAATCTTTGGTAGTGAGCCTTATACTTGGGAATCATTTTAATTGTCCCTGGTGATTCAAATATGCAACCGGGACTCAGAACTACTGACCTCCTGTTTTATAGTAAAGGAGGTTTTAGCACATCATGCAGCTATTCTTGCCTGAGGATCTTTCTCTATCTAGGTCCTTCCCTTAAATAAAACTACAGCATTGGAAAGGTGCAAATGGACTTTTTTTTTTTTTTTTGCAAATGGACTTTTTAAAAAAAGGACTGGGCTATATATGGGTGCTACCCTTTGCATATTCATTGTATCCATTAATCCTCAAAGAAACTTTGGGAAAGAGGAATTATGATGCTTATTTCATGGATTAGAAAAGACTACACATTTAGAAAGCAGCATGGCCAGGATTTGAATTCAAGTATTTCTGACTCCAACAACCCCACAGGTAGTAAAGGAAACATTCATAACCAAATCACACTTCCGGATATGGTGAAGCTCAAGGTGGTTCCACCACGTGCCCAGATCACACAGTTTACAGCAAGAAGTGGAGACTCTTCTTACCACACACACCTACACCCTCTCTGCTGC